GGCCCCTCACTGCAAGAAAGACCTTGAGGGGCTGGAGCGGGTCCAGAGGAGAGCAATGAGGCTGGGGAAGGGACTGAAGGGAAAGTCCTGTGAGGAGAGGCTGAGGGAGCTGGGGGTGTTTAGCCTGGAGGAGACTCAGGGGGGACCTTATCCATCTCTACAACTACCTGAAGGGAGGGTGTAGTCAGGTGGGAGTCAGTCTCTTCTCCTGGGCCACCAGTGACAGGATGAGAGGGCACAGCCTGAAACTGCGTCAGGGCAGGTTTAGGTTGGATCTCAGGCAGCCCTTCCTCATGGAGAGGGTGCTCAGGCACTGGGATGCACTGCCCAGGGAAGTGGTGGAGTCACCGTCCCTGGAGGTGTTTAAAGACAGGCTGGATGTGGCACTTAGTGCCGTGGTCTGGCCGATGTGATGGTGCTTGGTCATAGGTTGGACTTGATGGGCTCAGAGGTCTTTTCCACCCTCAATAATTCTGTGTGATTCTGTGAACTTGGTGAAGACTCCCAGTGCAGTAATGAAGTATGTACTGCATAGAGTACATAGTGGTTTTCCTAGGAGAGAATATGAGATATTAGTACACAAAGAAAGGGGGAAGGAGAAAATCATTAGCATTGAGTAACTTTTTTTTTTTTTTTGCTTAATTTTATCACCAATTCAGTATCGGTGAACTTTCCTCTATTGCAATAATAGGGTTTTGGATATTGGTAATACAGGTGTGGTGGGACATGTTAAAAGTTAACACACAGAGATGATAAAGTGTCTGTATGTGGAGCCAGCCCTGGTAGTCCTTTTTCCGTTAAGATGGCTCCGATTCGTTGAGCTCGTGGTGTATTGTACCCCCCTGTTCAAGGGAGGCTTAATGGGCCACGTGTGACTTGAGATGTGTCCTTGCCCACATGTTTGCACAGCATTGCATCCGGACCAGTTATGGCTGCTGCAGTCAGGCTGGGTCAATACAGTGCACACAACTGAATGATGAGTAACTCTGAATGGACTGTGGTTTTAAGGAAGAATTTTGTCTTCATCATCTGGAATTCTAGACATTTGATTCATTCTGATCATTCCTTAAAGAGTTGGCAAGCTATATGTGTAGTTGCAGTGACAGAAAAATGACACTTTTTTATTATTTTTTGCAGTGATTTAAAGGAAGGTTGTCTTTGCCTTGAATGAAAAAAAAAATAAAATTCATTTTTTAGTGTGAATTTCCAAATGTAATTGTGAATTATGTTTAACAGCTCAGTAGAAAATATGGAAGGGGAGGGAAAAGGTGACTGTGTAAATGTCAGACTTTAATGTTAAGTATTGCAGTTGTGGCCTAATTTGATGCTACAGTAAAATGGAGAAATGCTGATATATAGTATACCCTCAAGAGAAGAGTTGTGCTAAGTAGTAGTCCCGGACTTATAAGTAATATATATTATTAGGAAGGTAAATGTAGTTCTGCAAAACTTATTTCAGTAGTTTTGATTACAGGGAGAGGAAGAATATGCCAAGTAAACTCAAGTTTAAACGTATTAAGAGGTTAGAGTGTCCTATTACAGTATATTTTGCACAGTATAGAACTGTGTATTTTCTTAACATCTTCACTAGTCTGGAAGAGAAAGCAACTATCCTTAAGAAACTTCAGGAGTAGTAATGAATAAGTAAGCAATATAAATATCAAGGAAAGCAAAAAGACAGTGTTTCTTTTTTATGAAGGCTTATGAAAACACACAGAAAATAAAATAAGATAAACCTCAGAAATTTGCAAACAGGTATTCTGGGGCAAAAATAATTTGTACTGTAGGTATTCACTTCAGTGTAAGATTTTGCCTTTCAGTAAGAGAAATAATTGAAAGAAAAGATTAGACTCTAGCTCAAAACATAACATTATAATAACAGAGGAACAGTGCAGTCTGGTGTGGCATAAATAGAACTGAATCTGAATAAAGAAATTTACAGTTAAGGGAATGAATTATGAGAGAGAGCTTCAGGCTGACTATCAGGAAAACCTTACTAACAGGGAGCTGTTAGACTGTAAAATAATATATCAAAATTAACAAAGGAAAAACCATCAGAATATTTGAAAGACAGGCTTTGAAAAGCTCTCAGAAGTGGATAGTATCATAGAGAATGAGTCTGCATTGTCAGAAGAGGAAAGTAGGTTGCCTGTGAGGTCATATCCTTCTCTGATTTCTGATTTAATATACAGGACAAGAGAAAAAGAAAGGGAAAGGAACACGACTGTGTCATATTATTCTCACCTTTAATGATGTCTGAACCCTTCAGAATAGTAATTTCCAGTAGTGAGCCAGCTGACAGACTCAGATGCTGGATCTTCTCCTGTATTTAACATTTCTGGAACTAGAAAGAGCATTTCTTAAACATAATAGGTTATTAATAATTGCTAAACCTAACCCAAGTGCAGAATTCATGTGAGCTTTTTGTTGGAGTTTATTGTTTTGCTAAAGTTTGTTTGATTTGCCAACAATAAAAATTCATCTGTCGGCCTTGATATTACTCAAAAAATATACAAATGGTAGAACGAAGACTGAGAACTTCCCTCAAAAGGTATTATGGTGTTCCTGGTAAAAATTATCAACACAAAAGGCTTGTTTTTAGTGGCAGTCTCCCCTAGCCTGAACAAATTATGCAGTTTACTTATTTAAAAATATAGTATTTTATACTTTACATCCTTCTGTAACCTTCTGGGACAAAGTAGAAACAATTCTTACTTTTTGTATTTTCATACAATTAAATTCAACCTTTGGTATTTACAAATAGTCCTTTTATTTTTCAGACACTAGGGAGACTTCTGCTGAGAGGTCAGATACCCTACTCTGTTGTATGTTTCCATGGTCAGAAACTGTCCTTTAAATAAAATGTGATTACACACTTCTTGAAACGGTGCTTACTTGCTTACAAGACCAACTTTAACAGGCGTTTCAGTAGGTATGGTACGACTCATTAATTTTGGTTGCTGTCCAGTAGCGCAAAGGTTGTATGCTCGTTTAGTGGGAAAGTGTAATCATTATAGTATTTATCATATCAATGTGAAAAATCTTTATTTCATCAGTTAGTCCTCTGCACGCTATGGTGTCATTAGGCTCAGCCTGGTATGCCAGGCTGCATGCTGGGAGGTGCTGCCAGTTTATGAGAAATCTTCTCTGGGCAGTGGAGATTTTGTGAAGTTTTAGCTCAAGGGAGTGGTTTTCTTTATCGTCTGGAGGGCATCAACAAGCAGACATTGGCTTACCGGGCTATCTCATTTCTTTGCTGATAGGAAGAGAACACTGTTAGGTATAGGGTCCTGACTATGCCATACTTCTGTGCTCTGGTCACTCAGGTTGGTGTCATATACAGCAGCAACCTTAGCACAGGAATTTCTGTAGCTGGAAATCTTGTGAGACAGCACGTTCATTCACGTGCAGTCTGCATATCCCTGTGATAATTATTCAGCTGCTGTTAATATCAGCCAAAGTGGAACCAGTAATACAGAGATAAAGGCTTTGTGCCTTATCATTCTTCAGTCTTCTTTATTTGCCGTGTCTCTAGCTTGTTATTACACCCTAAGATAATGTTCTGCAGAATAATATTGTTCCACATTCCTGATAGCACTGTGAATTGCATTCAGTCTAACCAAGCTATAAGAATTATCTAATCATATCTAATTTTGTACTTTATAAAGTAGAGCACAAGGATGGTTTGAAAATAAAATGGAGCTTATTACATTAATAGTTCAGTGACATGCTTTCTGGTAATGAACTTTTCTCTAAATAAAAACAAAAAGCTAAGATTGAACAAAAAGATTGGATACTCTGAAGGGCTGACAGATCAAATATTCAGTTTAATTGTAAAATTAGATGAGTTAACAATGATTAATGTCCCAGATTAAATGGCATTCTAGTGTTAATTTCTTTGACCCTTACATCTAATTCATGTTAAAGTACAAAATAATTATTGCAAAACCATTCGGTAGGTTCTGCAGAGGCCAATGTTTGCAGTGGTAAATTGAGCAGGTTGTGCTCTTAGCTTGAAAAAGAACAAGGTTTGATGCAAGTCTTCATATATCTGTATTTTAGGACATTTTCTTCCATTTATAGTAATTTTTAATAAAGGATTTATTTTACATTTCATTGGAAAGATGAATCAATTGAAAAAGTCCCATATAACATCATTATTATTACTTTATTTTATGTTCTGAGAGTTTCAAAGTGAATTACATTGTATCAAATGAAATTATTATAGAACTACATGCAATAAGTACAGCCAGATCATGTAAATATATATGATAATAACAAGGCATAGGTATAAAAAGCTTTATTTAAGAACAAAAATTAACTGTTGGTATAAACTCACTAACTTCTGCATCATAACACCGATGGCAGTATTATATTGGTTAAGCAAACTCTTTCTAAGCACATATCCAACAGACAATAAAGCGCATGCAGAAGTGCGCATAAATATTTAATGATAGCTTAATCTCAGTGCAGAAAAGGGCTTCTTGGAGCATTCGGTGCCGATGACTTTGCCTCCCACTGCCACTCTGCTTTCTGATGATCAATCAGATA